TGAACATATGATGACTTTTTTATTAGCAAATTCATCATTACAAATCATACTTACTCTTCATGCCCCTTATCCAATCTCTCCCCATCCCCCTCCCCCTCCTCCATCTAATGACCATAGATCTGTTCCTTCCTTCTGATAGATTAACTGTTTTTCTGTTGATTTGTTGCGTAGATGATCTGTCCAGTGCTGAGAGAGGTGTGTTCAGGTCCCCTGTTACTATTGTAGAGCAGATGTTTCCTCTGTTACTCTGAAGTGTGCTCTGCAAAGAGAAATGTCCCCTTCTTTTTTTTGGTCTCCACTGGTGACTCTCCTTGTGTCAATGCATTTGAATGTCTGGTTGGCCACCTGTGCAGCAAATGCCCTCACCCATACAAGGCCAAAGGATGGACACAGAGACATGAGATACAATGAAGTGAGACTTTAATTACAGCCTTGCAAGGTTCAGGTGTCTGTAGAGTAGGCACATGGAAAAGGGCTATAGCTAGCAATTTATTCCCTAGTACACAAGTCCCTGCCCCTGCCTCCTCATTGGCTAAGAGTACTACGGAATGCACAATCTTTCCAGATGACGTCTAAGATTACCCCAATTTACTACCCCCTTGTAAAAAATTTCTCTGAGGGCTCAGGACAAGTCCATGAAAAAGGCCTACTGAAACCCTGTGAAAGGAGAAACACTAGGGAATGAAGAGAACAATAAAGGTCTAGTAACTCATTACCATCTCAAGGGGAACTTTATCTATCCAGCAACCCACCAGTCAGATAACTTTCGGGTTGGGCCTGAATTATTTCTGAAAATGAATCACTTGGATTATTTTCTCACAACCTGTGAGAAATGGTGGTTGTGACTACTGTTATGGTGACTAGCTACTTTTACAGCAGCCATGGCAATTGCGCTGGCTATGGTAGACTACCCATGTGGAAATGGTGTTTTTGGTGTGCTCTCTGCCTGGTTGTGGGCAGGTTTGGCTTCCCCCAGCTCCTGCCTCAGGACACCCTGTGTCTGTTGTTTCTTAATTGCCTTCAGCTCAAAATAATCCTTATACCAAAGGGGCATATTTTGTGGTGGCATATTCTGATCCCTTTCAGTGTCCGACAATCCCATGGAAATGGAAAGAGGGTAAGGGAAAGGAAAGAAATGATTTTGGGGGGCCCCTTCAGGAAGGTTTTCTCAAATTTGGATCCTCAGATGTCTGCTCTGAGACCCTCCAGAACTTAACTTTTCTTTTTTTCCCCATTTTTAAAAATTGTGGTACAATATTCATAAAACATAAAAGTTATCATTTTAGACATTTTTAAGTGTGCAGTTCAGGGGTATTAAGTACATTCACATAACTTTTTTTCATCTTGCAAAACTGAAACTATAGGGACAAAACACTAACTCCCCATTCACTCTTTTCCCAGCCTCTGGCAACCACAATTCTATTTTCTGTCTCTGTAAATTTGATTACTCTACAACTTTGCATAAGTTGAATCATACAGCATTTATCCTTTGTGACTGGCTTATTTTACTCAGCAAAATGTCTTCCAGGTTCACCCACATTGTAGCACGTATCAGAATTTCTCTCCTTTTTAGGGCTGAATATTATTCTATTGTATGTGTATACCACATTTCATTTATCCATTCATCTAGTGATGGACAGTTGGGTTGCATCCACCTTTTGACCGTGTGAATAATGCTGCTATCAACATGGTTGTTGCTGTGGATTGAATTGTGTCCCCCAAAGTCCATGTTTAAGAAACTTAACCCCCACTGTGACAGTGTTAAGAGGATGAGAAATCCTATTATGTTAATTGAAAGGTGGGACCTTGAAGAAGTGATTAGACTGTGAAGATGACACCATAGCAAATTAATTAATCCATTTGAATGGTGGCCACAGGTGTGGTTTTGAAGGCTTTAAAAGAGCCAGTAAGGAGTTAGCTCTCTCTCTCTCTCTCTCTCGCTTCTGTCTTTCTTGCAATGTGATACCCTGTGTCACTGAAGTCACCACCAAAGAAGGCCCACACCATAAGTGCTCCCTGGACTTTGGACTTCCCAGCCTCCAAAACTGTAAGCAATAAATATTATTTCTTTACAAATTACCCAGTTTCAGGTATTTCTGTTATAAGCAACAGAAATGGACTAGTACAGATGTACAAATATCTGTTTGAGTTCCTACTTTCAATTCTTCTGAAATTCCCAGAAGTGGAATTGCTGGATCATATGGTAATTCTATTTTTAATTTTTTGTCTTTTTTTTTTTTTTTTGTCTTTTTTCCGTGTCCGGCAACGGATCGCAACCCTCAGTGTTGCCCCCGTACCGGACTGGGGACCGGCAACGGGATTGCAACCCTTGGTGTTGCTCCCGCGCCTCGCTCAGCCAGTGAGCGGGAACCGGTCTGTATGTGGGATCCGAACCCTCGGGCAGGAGCGCCGCCGCGCTTCCCAAGCGGCGCACTATCCAGTGCGCCACCGGGCCGGCCCTATTTTTAATTTTTTGATGAACCATACTATTTACCATAGTGGCTATACCAGTCTACATTCCCACCAGGAGTGCACAAGGGTCATAATTTCTCCACATCCTTGTCAGCATTTGTTGTTTTCTGTATGGTTTTGTTTTGTTTATAGCAGCCATCCTAATGGGTGTGAAGTGGTATCTCATTGTGGTTTTGATTTGCATTTCCCTAATGATTACTTTTCGTGTATTCACTGGCCATTTGTATATCTTCTTTGGAGAGATGTTTATTCAAGTCAGTTGCCCATTTTTTAATTGATTTTTTCTTTTATTTTTATAGGGGATCAGTACATTTCTCAAGTTTAAGAGGTACTACTAATCAAATCCTAAAGATAAATCTGTTGGCTCTGTCATTAAATTTCTTGCAAATAATATTACTATTACAGGTAAAACAATCTCTACTTAATTTTTTAATTATTTTATTTTTTATTTATCTTTTGAATTCATCCATTTATTTAACTTTCCCATGTTCAAGACCTTCTTTCGATGGAGTGTCATGGAGGCCCTCAAGGGAGGGAGGGCTGGGACAGGGATATGCACAGCCCTAGGAGCAGGTTTAAATTCTAGGCTTTATTTTAGTGTTACGTAAAGAGAAGTGTATTAGTCCATTTCTGTTGCTTATAACAAAATACATGAAACTGGGTAATTTATAAATAAACAATATTTATTGCTTAGAGTTTTAGAGACTGGGAAGCCCAAAGTCCAGGGAACACTTCTGGTGAGGGTCTTGGTAGTGGCAACAGTGACCCAAGGGTCTTACATGTCAGAAAAATGGCAGAGCAGGGCCGGCCCCTGGGACACTCGGGAGAGTGCAGCGCTGGGAGCGCAGCACCGCTCCCGCTCGGGTCCTATATAGGAATGGCCGGTGGCTCACTGGCTGAGCACCAGTCACGAAAAAGACAAAAAAAAAAAAAAAAAAAAGAAAAGAAAAATGGCAGAGCAGAGAGAGAGCACAGAGGAGACTTCATGTGGTCTCCTTTTAAAGCCCTCAAAACCACACCCACAACCACCATTAAATCATCAATTTAATCACATCTTCAAGCCCCACCTTTCAATTACCATAATAGGATTTCCCACCCTCAGCAGTTACAGTGGGAATTAAGCTTCTAATATGTGGACTTTTGGGGGGAGGGGGGATGCAATTCAATCAACCCACAGCAGGGAGCTATTGAAGATTTTAGGAAAGACATAACTGGCCTTAACCTGTGCAAAATCTTGGGGGGTGAAACATCAAATGGGGAGTCAGGCTGGAGGTGATGCAAAAGTGATGAATATGGGTGGTGGTGATAGTAAAGATTTAATATTCCAAAATTTTTTAATTTTTAAAATTATTACACGTGAAATATAATTCACATATAGAAAAATCTGCATAGGAGTACAGGTTACATTTTCACAAATGGACACACAGACGTAACTAGCACCAAGATCAACAGAGAGATCCTTACTAATATCCTGGAAGCCCATCTTCCAGTCACTATCCCCTTCCAGTCACTATCCCCTGCTTGCCAAGGTGACCATTATCCTAACTTTTAGCAGCTTAGTTTTCCTGTGTTTGTATTTTTGTAAATAGATTTAGCATGTACTTTTCTAACTTTTTATGCTCAACTTTAGGTTTCTGCAGTTCGTCTGTGTCGTTGCCTATAGTTGCAGATGATTCTTCACATTGTTGTGTAGCGTTCTATTATAGGGACAGTCTGAGAATTTACTCATTTACTCTATTGTTGATGATCTTTTGGATTATTCCCATTTTGGGGCTATTACAACAAATGCAGCTATGAACATTCTGATACCTGTCTGTGCACCAAAAGTATGCGTTTCTCTTGGCTGTATACATAGGCATGGAACTTCTCAGTCATAGGGTATGCACCTTTTGCAGACCGTGCCAAACTGTTAATCAAAGAAGTTGTTCTAGTTCACATGCCATCAGCAGGGCAGATTTCAGTTACTTCACATACCTGCCAATGCTTGATATTTTTCAGTTTTTTTGTTTTTACTTCTATTTTATTTTGAAATATCAAAACTGAAGCAAAGTTGAGATTGCTTTTTTGGGGACCTTTTAGTTTTTTTGTTGGGTTCTCTAAATTATTAACCATCTCAGGCTTTCTACTTTGTCCAGCCAAATCTTGTGAGCTGTGTGAGTGCGTTTTCGACTTTGCTCGACATTTTTGGTCACTCTGCCACTCAAGACGTCATCCGGTCAAGAAAATAAAGTGTGCGTCTGAGGCGGGGTAAGTTCTTTGAGGACTCTGGAAGTCTGATCACTGTGTAGGCGAAACTTATGTGGACTGCGTCGGCAGATTTCTCTTTCCTAGAGTCCACGATCCAGGAGATCCAGCTCGCCTCTGGCCTCCCCACTGCGCACCCGGGATTCTCCAGTTGGGCCGGGAACCCGGAGGAGCCGCCGGGTCCGCGACCAGCCAGAACAGAAGCGGGGCGGGGGCACCGCAGCGGCGCGGAGCATGCGCAGACGGAGCCCAGCGCATGCTCCGCAGCCCGGCGGGTCCACCGCTGAGGGGAGTCGAGTCTCCCGCGCCCCGCCACCCCCGGCAGAGCTACTGCTGAGCTGTTCATTCTGAGCCCTGGCTACCAACAAAGTTCGTTAAAAAAAAAAACCATAATCAACCCTAAAAGAGTGAAAGAGGGCGCGAGCCAGCCAGGCGGCCCTGCCGGAGGAGCCGGCGCAGAAGGAGAAAGGCGGCGGCAGCTGTTGCGCCGCGACCAGGAGCAGCTGCTGGTCGCGCTGGGCGGCGGGTCCGCGCCAGGCGGGGGTCGGTGAGTAGCGGCTCGCGCTCCGGGGCAGCGGTGCTGCGCTCACCCGCCTTCTCCCGGGGCTGGTGGTTTCTTCCGCCCCGCTGGGTAAGGACTCGCTTCTCCCCGGGGTCCCGGGATGTACCTTACTCTGGGGAGTGGAGAGGGGTGTCGGGGCAGGGGCCTCCAGGCCCAGGATCCCATTCCCCGGCCGGACCTCTCAGCACCCGCCCGCCTGCCCCTGAGCACAGAGCCCAAGTTCGAGCCGGAGGAGGTGGGCGGCAGTGCCTGCCTGGCGCCCCCTCCCAGCTCCAGCGGTCCGGTCTCTCTGGGTGTTGGTCACTGGAATTGCCCCGTGGGCGGGAAAGAGCGTGGTGGAGCGGGGCGAGGCGCTGCGCCCCCAGCCTGGCGGAGCGTCCGGCTTTTTGCCCTCACCCAGCCCAAGATGGGGAAGGGGCGACCCAGGCCGGGCGAGACGCCGGCAAGGGGCGTTAAGTGCCCGGGTTAAGTTTGGAGGGGAATAAGGTCCCAAGCCGTACCCTGGCTTTTCGAGCCCTCTTCTCCCTGCAGTGGAGCCCCTCCTTACGCGCCGCCCCACCCTTCCCTAGTTTCTCGCTCAGAGACTGCTGGAATATGAATGAGCCAGGCTGCACTATTTCATTGACACTGGCTGCCACTTTACTCGGAGATCAGAGGAGCTTTCGGCAGTTCCCAGGAATAAGAACCTGAGAGCATATGAGCGAGTTAGAACTTCATTATCAGGAGCTAGTGAAGTAGTAGTAGGGTCTGAAAAGGGCCATTTGCTTCTCTAGGTTTTATATAACTCCTTACATTGACCCTAAGAAGTTTCTCAGTATTTTTACATATATAATCATACCTGTATTTAAGTACAGGCTATTAAGAAAACCCTTTCGATCAGTGAGTTAACTCGAACTTTCCTTTTCTAATTTAGACTGCATTGGTTGGCAAAATTTAAAAATTAAGTTTGTGGGAAAGGGTGTTTATATAAACTATTACTGTCAAGGCTTTAATTATTCAGAATTATGCCTATTTTCTAAGAATTTAATTGTTTCGTTATAGTGCTTTAAGTCTATAGAGTAGTGCCTGAGAATCACAATCAGACTGCCTGTGTCAAAATCTGATTTCACTTCTTTCTTTAAATTTTATTATTTTTTAAGTTATCCTATGGTAAAATTGACCTTTTTTTTAAGGTGTACAGTTCTGTGAATTTTAGATTCCTGTAACCGCTGGTACAATCAGTGTATAGAACAGTTCTATCACCCCCCAAAAACTCATGCTGTCCCTTTTTATATCACACCCCTTATCCCTAACCCCTGGTAATTATTGATCTTTTTTCAGAAAGTCGTATTAATGCAATCATAATTCTTTGTAACTTTTGGATACTGGCTTCTTTCACTTAGCATAATGCTGTTGAGATTCCTTGAAGTTGTTTCACGTATGGACTTTTTTTTTTTTGCTGGGTAGTATTTCATTAGATTGGATGTGCCACAGTTTGTTTACACATCCACTCATTGAAGGACATTTAGGTTATTTTCAATTTTAGGTGATTATGAATAGAGCTGCTATAAATATGTACAGGTTTTTGTGTGTGAACACAAGTTTTCATTTCTCTAGGGTGTTGCTAGGAGTGGGATTGCAGGGTCATATGTAAATGTATGTTTAACTTTTAAAAAACTGTCAAACAGTTTGTCCAGAGTGGCTGTATCATTTTGCATTCCCACTAGCAACGTGTGAGAGTTCCAGTTGCTCCACATCTTCCTCAGCACTTGTTATTGTCAGTATTTTAAAATTTAGCCATTCTAATAGGTGTGTAGTGATATGTTACAGTGGTTTTAATATGCCTTTTACTAATGGCCAAAGATGTTGAATATCTTTTCTTGTGTTCATTTGACATACTTACTCTTTAGTGAAGTATCTGGCCAAATCTTTTTCCCATTTCTTTTTTTTTTTTTTTCCTTTTTGTCTTTTTTCGTGACCGGCAACGGGATCGCAACCCTCGGTGTCGCGCCCGCCCCGCACTCAACCAGTGAGCGGACCGGTCTCTATATGGGGTCCGAACCCTTGGCGGGAGCGCCACCATGCTCCCAAGCGCCACACTCTACCGAGTGCGCCACCGGGCCGGCCCTTTTTCCCATTTCTTAATCAGGTTTTTTATTTCCTTATGTTGAGCTTTGAGGGTTTTTAAATATGTTCTGTATACAAATTATAAGTCAGATATGTGTTTTGCAAATATTTTCTCCCTTTCTGTAGCTTGTCTTTTCATTCTCTTAAGTGTCTTTCAGAGAGCAAATGCTTTTAATTTTGAAGAAGTCCAGTTTATCAATGTTTCCTTTTGTGTATCTTTTGGTATTATGTCTAAGAACCCTTTTCCTAATCCCAGCCCAAGAAGATTTTCTCTTTCTAAAAATTTTATTCTAAAAGTTATAGTTTTACATTTAAATCTGTGATTCATTTTTGAGTAATTGTGTATGAAGTTTAGATGAAGGTTTACTTATTTGCATGTGGATGTCCAATTGTTTCATCACCATTTGTTGAAAAGACTGTCTTTTCTCCGTTGAAGTGCTTTTGCACCTTTGTCAAAAATGAATTGGCTGTATTTGTGTTGTTCTATTTTGGGCCCTCTGTTCTGTTCCATTCATTTATATATCTTTTCCTTTGCCAATATCACACTTTCTTGATCAATTTAGCTTTATAGTGTCTTAAAATTGGGTGGTATGTTGTCCTCTAATCTTATTCTTTTTCAGCATTGTTTTAGCTATTCCAGTTCCTGTGCCTTTCCATATAAAGTTTAGAATCAGCTTGTCTATACAAAAAGTCTTGTTGGTACTTTGATTGGAATTGAATTCAACCGATAGATTAATTTGGAGAAAATTGCAATTTTTACTTTGTTGAGTCTTCCAGTCCATTAAGATGATATGTCTTTCCATTTATTTAGGTCTTTGATTTGTTTTATTAGCATTTTGTAGTTTTCAGCATAAGATCTTGTATACATGTTTTGCTATATTTATACCTAAGTATTTAATTGTTTTGGAACTATTGTAAATCTCATTTTTAAAAATTTTGGTTCAAATTGTACATAATTACTATATAGAACAACAATTGAATTTTATGTCACCTGTGTATCTTGTGACCTGTGACTTTGCTAAACTCACTTATTAGTTCCAGAGTTGTTTTTGTTTTGGGTTTTTTTTTTTTTTCCTTTTTTGGTAGATTCCTTGGATTTTTCTACAGAGACCATCATGTCATTTGAGAATAGAGAGAGTTTTATTTATTTATTTCCCAATCTGTAAGTGTTTTATTTATTTTTGTTGCCCATTGCACTGGCTAGGTCTTCGTGTATGATGAATAGGATCAGTAAGAGTGGACATTCTTTCCTTGTTCCCAATCTACAGAGAAAGTAAGTAATCAGTCCTTCAGAATTAAGTGTGATGTTAACTATAGCTTTTATGTAATAGATGCCTTTTTTTTTGGCAGCTGGCTGGTATGGGGATAGATATCTTTTGTCAGGTTGAAGAAGTCTCATTCTCTTTCTAGTTTGCTGAGAGTTTTTCTCACAAAAAGAGGTCGAATTTTGTCAGATATTTTCTCTGCATCAATTGCTGTTGCAGTACAGTTTTTCTTTTTGAGTCTGTTAATGTGGTGGATTACATTGGTTAATTTTCAAATATTTAGCCAGCCTCGTGTTCCCAGAATAAAGTCTACTTGTTTGTGGTGTACTGTTCTTTTAAATATTGCTGAATTCAATTTATTAATATTTTGCTGAGGATTTTTGCATCTGTGTTCACGTAGGGCTATTTGTCTAGGTTTTGCGGGGGGCAGGGGTACTGTCTGTTTGGTTTTGGTGTCAAGATAATGCTGGCTTCATAAAATGAGTTGGGAAGTGTTTACTTCTCTTCTCTGTTCTGGAAGAGATTGTGTACATTGGTGTTAATTCTTTAAACATTTGGTACAATTATCCAGTGAAACTACCTGAGCCTGGAGACTTCTTTTTCTTTTTTTCTTTTTAGCCTGGAGATTTCTTTTTGAGTTTTTAAGTTACAAATAATAGTCTATGATAATAATATAATATAGTACATAATAATAATAGTTATAGGACTATTCAAATAATCAATTCCATATTCAGTGAGTTGTGGTAGTTTATGCTTTTCAATTCCTTTCTTAATGTGGGAGCTTAGATTATTGATTTGAGATTTTTTCTCTTTTGTAAGGTAAGCATTTAGTGATCTGAATTTTCCCTTTTGGCACTGCTTTAGCTATGTCCCACAAATTTTCATGTTTTTATTTTCATTCAATTTATTTATTTTTATTTATTCATTCATCCATCCATCTATCTATCTATATCTATCTATCTATCTATCTATCTATCTATCTATCTATCTATCTATCTATCTATCTATCTATCTATCGTCTGTCTATCTATCTATTTCTTCTCTTGACCCCACTGACTGTTTAGAAGTGTGTGCTTTTAGTTTCCAAATGTCTGGAAATTTTCCTGTTGTCTTTTTATTACTGATTTCCAGTTTGGTTCTATTGTGGTCAGTGAACACACTCTCTATGATTTCCATTATTTTAAGCTTGTTGAGGTGGTTGTTGAGGTTTTATGGCCCAGAATACATTCTGTCTTGGTATATGTTCAGTGGGTGCTTGAAAGGAAGCATAAGATCTCTTCAAAAAGTTCATGGAATGATTCATATTATCTTTCAATTCAATCTTTCCATGAACCTTTTGAAGTATCCTCATACATTCTGCTACTGTTATGTGGACAGTTCTATATACAAATGTCAATTAGATTCTTACGATTTTATTGTCTTTTTGGAATTTAGTTTTGATTTATTTGTAATGTTTTTGAGTGTATCTCCTTGTATAACTTTTTTAGTGGTTGCTCTGGGTATTACATTATGTATGTAATTTATCACAGTCTATTGGAGTCAGTATTTTACCAGTTCAAGTGAAGTGTGGAACCTTTATCTTCCTTTACATCTTTTTATCCTCCTTCATTTATAATTAATTGTCTTAAATATTTTCTCTACATATATTGAACAGCACATTGGACAGTTTTATAATTTTTGCTTCAAGCGTCAGACATAATTTAGAACACTCAAGAGAAAAAGGGATATCTGTTGCATTTACCGTTATTTTTGCTCTTACCATGTTCTTTCTTTTGTACTGATATTCCACTTCATTTTTTTAAAAAAATCTTTCTGTTTTGAGAATTTTCATTAGCTGTTCTTTTGTATAGGTCTGCTTTCAACAGTGCTTTTAGTTTTCCTTCACTGGAGATGGGCTTGATTTCCTT